CTGACTTCCATTCTGTGTTCAATAAGAGTGGTGAAAGTGGACACCTTTGTCTTATTCCATATCTTAGAGGAAACACTTTCAGCTTTTCTGTGTTCACTATGATGTTGCTCTGGGTTTGTCATATAGAGCCTCTGTTATGTCGAGATGTGTTCCTTCTACAACCGATTTGTTCAGATGTTTTATTTTATTTTATTGTTTTTAATCATGAAAGGATGTTGAATTTTATTGAATGCTTCTACTGCATGTCTTGCAATGATCATAAGGTTTTTGTTCTTCATTCTATCGACGTGATGTATTACATTTATTGTTTTGCTAATGTTGAACCATCTTTGCATTCTTAAGGTAAAAGCCCATTTGATTGTGATGGATAATCTTTTTCTGTGCTGTTGGATCAGTCTGAGTAGTATTTTGTTGATAGTTTTTACATCTGTGTTCATAAGAGATATTGATCCGTATTTTTCTTTTGTTGTTCTTGTGTCCTTGTCTGATTTTGGTATCAGGGTAATGCTGACTTCATAGAATAAGTTTGGAAAAGTTCCCTCCCTTTCAGTTTTGTGAAATAGTTCCTTCTAAGGTTTCTAATTTGTCATGTATAATTGTTTATATTAGCCCCTAATGATAATTTGTATTTCTGTGGTCTCAGTTCCATTATCTCCTCAAGCATCTCTGATTTTATTAATTTGGGTCTTCTCCCTTTTTTTCATTTGTCAGTGTACCTGAAGATTTGTTAATTTTGTTTATCTTTCCAAAAACCAACTGTCCATTTTATCATTCTTTTGTGAGGTGTTTTTAGTCTCTGTTTTGTTTATTTTAGCTTAATTGGTATTTTGGTATTTATTTTTATGTACTAATTTGGGGCTTGGCTTGTTCTTTTCAAATTCTTTGAGATAGATTTTTTAGGTTGTTTAAATGAATCTTTCTTTTTTTTTAATGTTAGCACATATGGTTAAAACTTCCCCTTTAGTGTTACTTTTGCTATATCTCGTAAGTTTTGATATATTGTGTTTCCATTTTTATTTGTTTCAGGAAATTTTGCAATGTCCCTTTTGATTTCTTCAATGACTCACTGTTTGTGCTGTAGCATATTATTTAGTTTTCACATATTTGTACAATTTCTAAAGTTCTTTATGTTGATTTTTGTTTTTTCTCCATTGTGGTCAGACAAGATATAGGAAATTGTTTAATTTTAAAAAAATTTGTTGAGACTTGTTTTGCACCCTAAAATCTGTCCTATTCCAAAGCATGTCCATGTGCTGCAGAATAATGTGTATTCTGCAGCTTTTGGAAATGTTCTGTAATGTTGGTCATTGTCATTTGGTCCATCTCTGACCTTTGTTGATTGTTTGAATGATCTGTCCATTAATGAAGGTGAGGTATTGAAGTCCCCATCTATTAATAGTGTTATTATAGCCTCTCTCTTTGAATCTAATAATGTTTGGTTTACAAAATTAGGTACTCTGGTATTAGGTGCATATACATTGACAATTTATACCTCTTGTTGAGTTGATCCCTTAATCATAATGTAGTGACTCTTTTTGTCACTATGACAGTTTTTTTCTTTTTATTTAGAATCTGTTTTAGCTGATATAAGTATAGCTACTTATGTTTGCTTTTATTTTCTGTTTGTGTGGAAAATCTTTTTCCATTTCTTCATTTTTAGTCACTGAGTCCTTATTGGTGAAATAAGTTTCTTGTAGCAGCATATTGTTGGTATATTCTTTTTAATCCATTCATCCAATCTATGTCCTTTAATTAGGGACTGTAATTCACTTACATTCAAGGTTGTTATTGGTATGTAAAGGTTTGTGTCATTTCGTTAATTTTCTTCTTTCTTTTTTTTTAATATCCTTCATCCTATTCTTCCTCTCTTATTTATCTCTATGGTTTAGTGGTTTTCTGTATTGATAAGATTTGCTCCTTTTCTCTTTCTCTTTTTTTAATGTAATTTTTTATTTATATGCAATAGCAGAATGCATTACAATTTTTATTACACACATAGAGCACAAATTTTTCATATCTCTGGTTTTATATAAAGTATATTCATACCAATTTGTGTCTTCATACATGTACTTTGGATAATGATGTCCATCACATTCTGCCATCAGTGCTAATCCCATGCTCCCTCTTTTCCCCTCCTACCCCTCAGCTCTATCTAGAGTTCATCTAGTCCTCCCATGCTCCCCACCTACCCCACTATGAATTAGCCTGCTTATATCAGAGAAAACATTTGGCATTTGTTTTTTTTTGGGGGGGATTGGTTAACTTCACTTAGCATTATCTTCTCTAACTCCATCTATTTACCTGCAAATGCCATGATTTCATTCTCTTTTATTGCTGAGTAACATTCCATTGTGTATATATGCCACATTTTTTAAATCCATTCATCTATTGAAGGGCATCTAGATTGGTTCCACAGTTTAGCTATTGTGAATTGTGCTGCTATAAACATTGATGTGGCTGTGTCCCTGTAGTATGTTGTTTTTTAAGTCCTTTGGGTATAGACTGAGGAGATGGATAGCTGGGTCAAAGATGGTTCCATTCCCAGTTTTCCAAGAAATCTTCACACTGCTTTCTATATTGGCTGCACCAATTTGCAGTCCCACCAGCAGTGTATGAGTATACCCTTTTCCCCATATCCTCACCAACACTTATTTTTGTTTGTCTTCATAATAGCTGCCATTCCAACTGGAGTAAGATGAAATCTTAGAGTGGTTTTGATTTGCATTTCTCTAATTGCTAGTGATAATGAACATTTTTTCATGTATTTGTTGTTTGTACATCATCTTTTGAGAAGTGTCTCTTCAGGTTCTTATCTTATATTGGACAAAGGTGCTAAGAACATGCTTTGGAGAAAAGATGGCCTCTTCAAGAAATGGTGCTGGGAAAACTGGAAATCCATATGCAACAAAATGAAATTAAACCCCTATCTCACCATGCACAAAACTCAACTCAAAATGGATCAAGGACTTAGGAATACAACCAGAGACCCTGTGTCTAATAGAAGAAAACGTAGGTCCTAATCTACATCATGTGGGATTAGGTCCCAACTTCCTTAATAAGACTCCTGTGGCACAAGAATTAAAATCAAGATTCAATAAATGGGTTGGGCTCAAACTAAAAAGCTTCTTCTCAACAAAATAAACAGTCTGTGAGGTGAATAGAGAGCCAACATTTTGGGGACAAATTTTTACTCCTCACACATCAGATAGATCACTAATCACTAGGGTATATAAATAACTCAAAAAGCTAAACACCAAAACAAAAACAAAAACAAAAAAACAACCAAATAACCCGATCAATACATGGCCCAAGGACCTGAACAGACACTTCTCTTTTGTGTAATTGCTCTTCTAGTGGATTTTATACTTTCATATATTTTCATGAGTCTTTCACTTCTACATGTAGATTCCGTTCATCCAATCTATGTCCTTTAATTAGGGAATATAATTCACATATATTATATATGATATATATAATAATTAAGCATAATTTGTAAGGCTATTGTGGTGGTGAGGAATTCTCAACTTTTGTTTGTCTTAGAAGGTCTTTAATTCTTTTTCATTTTTTCAGAGCTTTATTGAATATAATATTATTTTTTTTCCTCTTTCTAAACTTTAAATTTGGCATCACATTCCCTTCTAGTCTGTAAGGTTTCTTCTGAAAGATCTAGAAATAGTCTAATAAAGATAACCTTTAAATGTGACATGATTATTAATGATGAGTTTATCTTGTTCTTTTTTAGAATGTTGTCTTGAACTTTGACAGTTTGTAATATGCCATGGCAAAGACATTTTTTGGTCAAATCTGTTTGTGGTCCTTTGGGATTTCTGGACCTAGATGTCTATGTCTTTCACAAGATTAGGGAAGTTTTTTGCTATTTCATTGACTAGGTTTTCTATACCCTTTCCTTTATCTCTATTTTCTGAAATCCCCAGGTGTCTCATAAGTCCCCTTATGTTCCATAAGTCTAAGAGCCTCTTTTTATTTTTTATTTATTTATTTTTTTTCTTCCTCTCTCTTAGTGTTCTTTCTATCAAAATATCTTTTTGTATCCTATTGGAATTTTTGTTTTAACTTGGCACTTAAAGGAAACACTTTATGCTTTTTTTCTGGCCTATCTGAATTGCCAGAGTCACTACTCTTGCACTTTGGGACCCTTGGTAGATAAAATAAGGGTACTAGAAAATAAACTCTGCAAAACTGCAACAATTGATTTGATAACTGAGATGAGTAGAGAGTAACTAGCTGGTGAGTAGCATATAGAGTATGGATACCCTGGAAAAAGGGAATGATTCAAATCCTGGATAGGAGAGAGAAAGAAGGTTAGAGATTTTATATTGTTGCTCAGAATAGCACACAATTTTAAACTTATAAATTGTTTATTTTGTAACTTGTCATTTAATATTTTTGTATCAATGTTGACCATAGGTAACTGAAACCACAAAAAGCCAAATAATGGAGAAGGGGGAATGACTGTACTCATGTTTTGTAACTAGCAGTGAAGTTTGTACTTATCCAGTTACTCAGTTAATATAGTGTGGTAACTGAAATTTGAATGTTGTTGTTATGAAATTGGTGTTATTTAACTAACGTGTGGTAATGAAAATCCATGCACAGAGGAATTGTGTAAAGCAGGGACTCCCTGTCCCCAGTACTTATTTATTTATTTATTTGTTTGTTTATTTATTTATTTATCTCTCTCTCTTTCTTTCTATCTATAACTTCTTAAGTTAACTGTTAGCAAATAGTTTAGAAATCATAATTAAAACATGGGTTAACATTTTACTGTGTATATGTGTCCTATAGCATTATGTTGTAAGCCTCAATTTCGATAAAATTTATCTAAGTAATATTTTATATATTTTAGCTCATTGTATGGGAGCAACATTTCTGTTTTGTAGGCATATTTGAATGCCTAATCAAAGATGACTATATGATTTTATGTAGCATTTTAAAAGCAACACAAAACTGAAGCTTTTTTCTTCTTTTTTCTTTTCCAGTTTTATGTATGGGGAATTGACTGACAAGAAGACCATTGAGAAAGTCAGGCAGACTTTTGACAACTACGAGTCAAACTGCTTTGAAGTTCTTTTGTACAAAAAAAACAGTAGGTATTTCTTTTATTAGTAAGATAAGCCAACTCTTTATATTTTGGTAAATACTAGTTAAGCTACAATGTAGACAGAATGTGAACTTTTATCACTTCTTATTTTGGTGGAGGGAGGGCAATTTACTGGTGAAATTTGATAACAAAATTTCTAAAATGATTCTACCAATGGAAAGCAACATTTTAAAGAATGGAAGAAAATAGGGTGCAGTTTATTTTTAAAATTTTTGTTATAAATTGTCATATTTGTACATATTTATGGAGTACAAAGTGATGTCATGATTTATAATTCCAATGTAGAATATTTAAATATATCTAATTAGCGTATCAATCATCTCAAATACTCAATTTTTTTTTTGTGGCGAGAATATTTGGAGTTTACCCTCTTGGTGATTTTGAAGTGCACAGTACACTTTTATTAACTGTATTCACCGTGTTGAGTAATAGATCTCACACACAGATGCTTCTCTTGTTAACTGAGGCTTAGTAACTGTTGGCCATCCTTTCTTCAGCCCCTCAAACCCCAGCCTCTCACTTCATTCCATACAGGAAGTAAATCATCCCTTTGTCCAGGGTATCCATACTCTATTCATTACTCACCAGCTAGCTATTCACTCTTCTCTGATTTTTTGGAAGTTTGATTTTTTAAATTAAATTCCACTTAAAAATGAGAATGTGTGGTACCGTCTTTCTGTGCCTGGTTTATTTCACTTAGCATAATATTTTCCTGGTATATCCCATGTTGTTGCAAATAGCAAACTTTCTTTTAAAGGCAGACGAATATTCCATTTTGTATGTGTACGCCAGTTTCTTTATCAGTTCCTCTGTTGATGGACATTTAGGTTGGTTCTGTAAGGGGCTGTTATGAATTGTGTTTCCATGCACATGAGAAGGCAGACTTCTCTTTGATACAGTGATTTCAAATCCTTTTGGTTAATACTCAGAAATGGGACTTCTACATCATATATGGTAGTTCTATTTTTATTTTTATTTGTTTAGGAACCTCCACATAATTTTCCATAGTGGCTGTGTTAATTTACATTCATAACAACAGTGTATAAGTGTTCCCCTTTTTCCTTATCCTTGCTAAAACTTACCTTTTGTCTTTTTGATAGTAATAATTCTGATAGGTGGGATGGATATCTATTGTGGTCTTAATTTGCATTTTCCTAATGATTAGTAATGTTGAATATATTTTTTCCACAGACCTATTGGCCATTTGTGTATCTTATTTTGAGAAAGTTCCACTTGGGTCCTTTCTTCATTTTTTAATGGAAGTTATTTGTTTTCTTTCTATACAATTGTTGAAGTTTCTTATGTTTTGAATATTAACCCTTATCAAATGTTCTGGCTTATAAATATTTGTTTCCCACTATAGGTTGTCTCTAAAATTTGGCTTTTTTGTATATGTGTCAGCTAGGAAAATATTTTATATAAACATCCTATAGTTATAATTAATATAAGTGATGAGATTTGTGTGAGGTTAACTGTCCAGTATGTGATCACAGATCTCATGCCATAGACTCTCTGTATTAGAGTTTGGAGGAAAAAGCAATGAGTGTGCTCAACCATCAAGTCCCCTTTCTAATGTGATTTTTTTCATATGGTCACTTACATTTTTCTCTTTTTGCTGCTTTCTCAAATTGTCCTTCTTTCTTGAAATGAATAGTCACTTCATCTTTAGAATCAAGGCCAAAGAGATATATCTGTTTGAAGTCCCAGCCAAATGTCATCTGGCTTATCACTTAGACTGCAATCCATTCTGAATGATCTGCTCTTTTTCTCTGTAAGAGCAAAGGCAGTTTCTCTGTGCTTTCTGGGTCTTTTTTCACAAGTTCCAAATACACATTGTTAATTCATGGGAGAACCATACGCCAAAACCACTTTCACTTTTCATGAAATGGTTTGTTAGCCTTTGAATGATTTAGATATGTAGCCCAAGTATAGCAAAGAACATTTAAAGACACTCCATAGTACTAAGGTTATGCACTGTGACATTTAAACAGAACAAACAAATCTTTGCTTGATTTTCTAACATCAAAACCAAGTCTGTAGTTTCCGAGTTTCTCAAAAATACCTTAGTAAAATTTCTGTTTTGTTTATTGACTTTAAATCACATTAGTGATAGCTTAATATTCTTGGTTCCAAAAGTATCCTTTCAGGGCAGTTTAGATATTTTTCCTGATGTTAATAAATTGAAATTATTATCTGACCTAGTTCAGGCCTGTCTGGCTCTTTTCAGATGGCTGCGTGAGAAGAAAAAAACATTATATATATATATATATATATATATATATATCTCCATATCCATCCATTAGGAGGTAGAACCCACAACACCATGGATTCAAACTCTTGTCTTTTTTCTAAAAATACCATCTGCATTGAATTTTACTTTTGATTTTTGCTTTAATATGAAGGATAGACATCATCTATGTGTTATTATGGAGTTCTACTATTTAAAAGCAGCTTAAAAAAAAACTTGTAAAAGGTCAGCTGAAAGCTTTTGACCATGACTGCAAAAAGTATATTCTTGTGACTTCTAAAAATGTTAAATAGGGAAATTCTCATGTCTCAAAACTGTTTTGGGAATGCTGGAATGCCAAGTCCTCCCAACACTTCCATTATGTAATTAGGTTAAACACCATTTTGCAAATGGGGGAAATAGAGATATTTGATTTAATATGTCTCAGGATTCACATTTCAGTTTGTGGTCTTTGTTCTGTAGGTCCAGTGCTCTGATTAGCTGTTGCTACTATGGGGAAGGAAATAGTAGCTCTGGGGTAATGATTTCAAATAGCCCCTCTGTGTATACAAAGGCAGAACTATGAGGGTCAGGATTAGGCCGAGTAACCACTACCAAAGCCCTGCCCTGAGTGTTCAGTGGCCCTCCACCCCGGAACCTCAAATCTAGAATATAAAAGATATTTCACCAGCCGCTTGGCAGACATTCAGCCTACTTGGGGAAGACTGGCTAGCAAAGTTGAAAAAAAAGAAAACCATCTTGATATCTGAAAACAGCTTTTAAGACAGCCCTGTCCGCTAGAATTTGAAAAGTTGCTGTTTTCATAGGAAGGCATGAAATGTTACACCATCTCTTTCTGTCCAGATTTCTAACAGACCTAGGAAAACGACTTATTTTTATGCCCTTTTCTCTTTGTTTATGACCCTCTGCCTCAAGCTCATTGTGTTGGAACAGCCATAGGCCATGTATACACCGATGTCTGGGTCTGGTTATTTGTAAAACTGTTCACATCACTCACAGTTCCTGGACACGCTGGGTAAAATAAGAAACAGAAGACAAAGAACAAGCCTCTGTGGGAGATGATGTGATTGTTTTCAAGGTCCCTGTCTCATCCTGCAATTATTTTGGAAAGGGCCATGTCCTTCCATAGCCCTGCTGGGGTTACAAAAGACATGGTTTCCAGAACTGAATATTCCCATGGAAATCTACTCTCTCTAATTCTCTGACTTCTTTTGGTAGTTGAGTTACTTCATCTTGTCTAAATAGCAAGTTGTCCTCTACAGTGGCATTGGGTGACTTTTCTGGACATGAATATGAAGGTGCTTCCTAATTGGTTTTCACTTGGAGTTGCTAAGGCTATCTACTCTCACCTGCAGACTGTTAGTACCTGCATAGTTCCTAAACTGTTCAAAAATCTTTGTGTCTTTAAGAGAGAATATTTGGAGGGGCCTTATTGCACTATGGTTTGGTGAAAATATGATGAAAAATGTGTCTTTGATTCTGATAGAGCATTCCTTCAGTGTTTTATCATTTAATGGATAATTATTCTTTAAAGGCATTTCTTATGCATAGGTTTATTATCTGCTATATGCCAGGTCCTGGTTTCTTCAAATCCTAGGCTTTGATGCTCTGAAACCCTCTCCCTGGGTCTACTGTAGCCATTCTTTGAAGAAAAGGGTTACAGTGTATGGCCTCATACATTAAGTGAGGTGGGTAAGAAGCAGAGGCTGATGAACACCCCTGAGACTCTCAAAGGTTAGGAACATGTCTTTTATTCCTTTAAGATTGCCTTAAAGGCTTCAGGTAGAGCCCAGTACATCAGGCATGAAGTGTTGTTGATGACCTCTCTCTAATATGGGGATGCGATCAAAATAGTGAAGGTGTAATATAACTTTATCTGACTGATGAGAGAGTCGTAGGATAGAAGCAGCATTTCAGATGTTCCTCCGGGAGGAATACTTATCAGAGCATCAGGTATTGCTGTTGCTGTTAATTGGAAACACTTGTCAAAATGACAAGAGGAGAGAAGCATGTAGGAGTGATCACACTTGGTGAGACTATCAAAAAGAGAACAAGCAGTAGTTTAGGGACCTAGACCCAAAGGTGACGCTGGCCTTACCTAGGTAGTGAGACTGCCTTCACGTGCTTGCTTTGCGAAGTGAGACTCTATGCTGTACTTTAGAATTTTGATATCTTGGGTTGAAAAATGTTTATTTAATTTGAACGACTGGTAGTTGACATAAAAATAAAGGTTTTGGGATTCTTCGTAGCATTGAACGTACTGTTGTTTTGGTGCTAATTCCTGGCAGAGCAATTGGAAGCTGAAGGAAGAGGGAAGGCAGAAGAGCATTGGTATGGCTGGGTCACATTATTGTCCCTTCTGTCTCTCTCTGTTACAGGGACCCCTGTTTGGTTTTACATGCAAATTGCACCAATAAGAAATGAACATGAGAAAGTAGTCCTGTTCCTGTGCACATTCAAGGATATTACATTGTTCAAGCAGCCGATAGAGGATGATTCAACAAAAGGTAATAGTCAAAGAATTATTGCACTTAAGAAATAGTCTATTCGTTAAATAGCTTCTTCATCTTATTTTAACAAACTTCATTGGAAAACAAAATTTTAGTGTGCGTGGCCCTCCTTTACTTCACATTCACACTATTAATTGCCCAGAATCAGTTTTATTCAGTCACATTGTCTGAATGAAATAGCATGGCTATCCAAAGTTGAAATAGTAGTTAGTTAACTAACATAATAGGGGGGGATTAAGATAAGACATTCAACTCTGGAGGCTGAGCCAGGAGGATCGGGAGTTCAAAGCCAGCCTCAGCAATGGCAAGGCTCTGAGCAACTCAGTGAGACCCTGTCTCTAAATAAAATATAAAATAGGGCTGAGGATGGGGCTCAGTGGCTGAGTGCCCCTAAGTTCAATCCCCAGTACAAAAACCAAACCAAAACAACAACAACAAAAACCCCTGATAGGACATAAGGAAGAAATTTAATAAGGCATCATTAATTTAGAATCAGCATAATTGGAGTTTCAGCACCTTGTACCATGATGAGCTTTAGAACTGAAAGAGTATAGAGTTCAGGATGATTTGGCTGAAGCCCAACTAGAGCTGTGTTGATAAGTTGATTGAATTTTGTCCAATCAATTAGAGTTTTATTAGCTGACTTTTCCAGTTTACTTTGCTTTTATTTATTCAGTTGTTGCATTTTCTCTTGAGTAGAAGTTGCTAGGTTATGTAAAGTATAATTTTGTCATCAAGAGTGGTTGGCCAAATGTAAACCTCCCCATTGGAGTCTATTGACTATGACATCCAGAGAGACAGCTATAGAAACCTACAGTGTGTGTGCTTTTACCTCTTTTCTATGTAATTTATTCTCTCCAATTATGTTTAAATTAGAAACTGGTGTCATGTAAATGAAGAATTTCAAATACCCTTAGAAGTAGTTTTTATGTTATTTTTAATAATCTCTTAGGAGACTAAAAATGAAATGTCTTCCTTTTTGCATTTGGCAAACATTGCCCTTTTTTTTTTTTTTAAAGGAGAACTGGCACAGAAGCTTTAAGCTTTCCAACTATAATTCTAAAACAAAAATCACATCAGTTTATTCCTTGCATATGAGTTCACATATTAATATTATATCTGCTCATTTTCTGGTTAGCATCACATTATAAAAGAAAAAATTTTACAATGTGCCAGTTTCAAAGTATGACAAAGAATAGTTCATTCATCAAAGAACTATTCGTCAATGACCACATTCTGAGTCATAAAACACTCTGACCAATTTAAACAAATAAAAATCTTAAAAGGTATGTTCTCAGAACACATGGAATTAAAAATCAACAACAGAAAGACATCTGAAAAATCCCCCAAATACTTTGAAATTAAGTAAAATATTTCTAAATAATCCATAGGTCAAAAAAGTCTTAAGTTAGATTTACATGGAAATACAGTGTATCAAAGTTGTGGGATGCACTAAAAACAGTGCTTTGGGGCTGGAGTTATAGCTCAGCGCTAGAGTGCTTGCCTAGCACGTGTGAGGCACTGGGTTCAATTCTGAGCACCACATATAAATAAGTAAATAAAATAAAGGTTTATCAACAACTAAAAAAATTAAAAAATTAATGTGCTTTTATCATAGGAAAGTAGACAAAGAGGAGCATTTTAAACCAAAAAAGCCAAAGACCAAGAAATAATAAACCTTAGAGCAAAAATCAATGAAATAGAAAACAGGACAACTTTAGAGAAAAATTACCAAAATCCAAAGTTGCTCTTTGTAAAGATCATGAAAGGTAATAAATCTCTAGCTAGGATAACCAAGAAAAAAGGGAGAAGAAACAAATTATCAATATCATAGATTAAAGAAGGTCCATCACTATTCAAGCCTGGGACATGACAACATAGTGTAGGATTATTATGGACCATCCCGTGGTAGTTTAGATGAAATGACCAATTCCTTGAAGAATAGACTACAAAATCTCACTGAAGGAAAAAAAATAGACAACCTTAATTGCTCTGTGTTTGTTAAAAGTTCAATAAATTTTAAATAATCTTCCAAAACCAAAGAAATATTTCCTAGATAGTTTCATCAGTAAAACCCAGTAGACATTTAGGGAAGAAATAATACCAGTCTTCAAATCTCTCCCAGAAGTGGAAGCAGAAGGAACTTTCTTAACTCATTCTGTGAGGCCAGTACCATTCTGATACCCAAGTCAGAAAAAAAGTCATTACAGGAAATGTTTTTCATGAATGTAGTAAAAAATTTCTCAACAAAAATTGGATCTAGTGTTTTTCATGAATATATATCTAAGAGTACTCAAGAAAAACTGAATAGAACAAAATATAAAAAATTACACTTGACAACCAAATGGGATTTATCCCTCCTATGCAAGATTGGCTCTGCCTTCCAAAACCCATCCATTCATGATAAAGACCATGAGAAAAGTAGGGATACAGTGGAACTTTCTCAATATGATCACCTGTGAAGGAACGTCTGTGAAAACCCTGTAACAGTGAATACAGTAAAGTGACATATTTTAAAATAAAAGACAAAATGATTGATAATTTGATTTGTGGCCCAACATATTCATTTTTGTGTGTGTGGGGTGGCTAGTGGGGATTGAACTCAGGGGCACTCAACCACTGAGCCATATCCCCAGCCCCATTTTATATTTTATTTAGAGACAGGGTCTCTCTGAGTTGCTGAGTGCCTCTCTTTTGCTGAGCCCAACATATTCTTCAAATGTATTTTTGTAGCCTTCACACATGAATGACAACCAACCGGAGTAAAAAGCTTTAATGCCACTTTCCTGCCTCCCCCCACGTGTATATGTGTATGTATTTGTATTTATGTATGTATATATATATATATATATATATATATATATATATATACACACACACACACACACACACATCAATATGTTTGTGTTTGTATTGATGAATATCGTTTTCTGTTATCATTTAAGTGCTTTCATGATACAGTTGGAGCTGATCAAGAAAAGTATAGATGTACAGAATTTTCTCGTTGTTTCAACCTGTTGAACCTTAATGGTGGAGTCAGCAACTACACACACACACACACACATATATATAAATGAAATTTGAAAGTTGTTGGCAGCATTTTACAGTGAGGTTGGGGGAAAGGGTGCTCATATGGAAAGGTTGACATTTACTTCTGAAATGAATGTCTCTTCTTTGGTCTGCCACCACCTCCATCTCTCTGCATCTCCATGTCAGAATCACAGAGTACTTTGTAATGTACAGTCTCTGAATGAAGTATGATTTTATAAAAGAAATATGAATAAGCTAAACAACTTTAGAGCATTTGATTTTCAAACTAGGAGTTTATTAGTCGTGTACATTAAAATTTATAGAAGAAAAATCAGATCCCATTGTGACAAGCATTAGTATAAAAAATAAAAAATTCCAGTGCCAGAATTTTTAGAGGAAGAGCATATTGTAAAAAGATTTTTGAGATTCCTCCATGTTGTCCAGATGTATAACAGATTACTGGAGGAGTATTGCATAATGTAACTATGAATGGTGTATATGAGCTACTTTCTATTATTCATGTGAGCTGTATATTTAATATGAAAAATTCAAAAGAAATGAAATATTTATGCCATTGAGTTATCATCCTACCGTATCTTTCATCTGAAGCCAGCATGATAGGAAATTGTGTTTTGAAATCTTGACCTGATAATATTTTTCAACTTTTCAAGTCAAATAAAGGAGACCGTGGAACTCTTGGCAAGTAGCAGGTGAGATTTCAAGATAGCACCATAATGTCAAATGATCTGGGTCTAGAGCACTGAACTTGGAGGCAGTGAACTTGCTTTGACTCAGCCTTGGACACTAGAGTTACTTTTCATGATCTTTATAGGAATATTGAATTCCCTTTATTGTACATTTAGCTTTTTTTTTCTCTAATCAAAACTGAGGACAATACCTTTGAATTATACCATAATGGACAGTAGCAGAACCTACTGAAGGGGAAGATATCAGCTTTGAGGAGTAGTTAATAAATGGCAGGAATTTTATATTTATTATTGCTCATTCCTTTAATTTTGAAAATTAGTATTATTATCTCTATTTTACTCTTAAAGAGACTGGCATTCAGCCTGTGGCTGATTTCAAATCCCTTGTTTTCTCTATTGCACCATGTTGTCTTGTCCCTTTCCTTTGAAAACTTAGTTTTGGGGTGTAGCTGCCTTAATCCCCTGCTCCCTTTTCTTCCTATAAAAACTAAGCACAGGCTGGGGTTGTGGCTCAGTGGTAGAGCACTTGCCTAGCATGTGTGAGGCTTTGGGTTCGGTTCTTAGCACTGCATATAAATAAATAAAATACAGGTCCATTGACAACTAAAAAAATTAAAAAAACAAAAAACTAAGGACAGGTTGGGAACACGTGTGCTCCATCTTATAGAGTGGTACTGTTTGAATCAAAGAAATTAATTAATGATAATTCAAAGGGGCAAATTATTCTTGTTATCTTTTGTTCCTGATATTACGGTCTTGGAAATTTTAATTTTCAGATAATCAGTCAATGGTATCTGATACATTATTTATAATAATACCCAGGGGGAAAAAATCACAGCCAAGAAATCCATTCTGTTGATTATCCTTATGTGTTCTAAAATAGATGGCCCAAATCTTTGCCCATTTATACTGTACAGTATTTTCAAACAGACTCCAAAACTGCCAAGATAATTACAGTGTGAACTACCCTGTGCCAAATAGTTATGGCATCTTCTTGCCAATAATTGAGACAAAAAATTCCTGTAGAATAAAAATAACAGCAAAAGTAGCAGCCTTCTTATGAAAGCCAATGGTTTTCTTTAGAGAGGAGACAACAGATGAAATATGAGTAATTATACCATGTAGTCCCTGTGGCCAGGAGCATAATTGTTTACCTAAGCTTTTTTCTTATAGATTAGAATCTTGTGTTGCAGTCTAGTAGATTGATTTAACTGCCTCCGTGACTTCCTTTTATTTTTAAGATTAGGCAGTCCATGACAA